CAGACATGCCAGAGTTCCAGCTCTGCCACAGTGGCAGCGTCCTCATCTGCACACTGACAGGGACAGTGCTTCTTGCTTGCCAAGGACACCATGCTGAGCAACACAAAGGGTTCAATAACAGTCACTTTTTTGAAGTTGTAACTAGTAAAGCTAAGTGCAGAGGGAAGAGTGCTGCTGCCCACACAGCAAGTTTTTTCTGAAGAACTCAGGGACAAAGGCCAATTCAAAGCATGACCGTCTTGGATGGCGAAGTAGAGGTTCCAGTAAACTTCACACACCATTTTCATGTCAATCTACCTCATCTGCACATGTGAGCATGACTTATCACCTATAGTAATTTCTAAATATGTAAGTTCAAAGAAAACAAAAAATCCTGGGAGGGCTGGGAAGGTGGCTCAGTGGTAGAGCGCTTGCCTTGCATGCCAGAGGCCCTGGGTTCGATTCCTCAGCACCACATACGCAAAAAGAAAAAAAAGCCGGAAGTGGCACTGTGGCTCAAGTGGTAGAGCACTAGCCTTGAGCTGAAGAGCTGAGGGACAGCACCCAGGCCCAGAGTTCAGGCCCTACGACTGGACCCCCCCCAAAAAAAATCCTGGGAAACAACTAGTGTTAGAGCCACCAGAAGTTCAGTTCACTGCTGGAACCCCAGAAAGGGACAGTCATATCCGCACACTCACAGGCAACAACTGCCCAACTTGCAGAGCAACATGCAGAGTTCTAAAATGGAACTCATCCAAATTTCTACCAAGAACAGAAGGTACAAATACACTGTGGCATATTCACCAACAGGGTATTATGTACACCAAAGAAAATGAACTATCTAGATAACACAGTGGTCTCACAAACTAAATGATGAGCAAAACAGAATGTACCTACTGATACCTTCATATCAACAGACTGAACCCACCCATGGACAGAATAGTGGCTACCGTAAGAGGGCCAACAATGAATTAGAATGAGCATTCTCAAGGATTTCTGGGCTCTTTTCTTGTTTTAAATAATCGTTACATCATGTGTACAATTTGTGAAAATTTACTGAACTGTTTGTTCACTAAATTTTCAAATTGACATTGGTTATTTATTATACACCTCAATAAAAAGTTCACAAATGTAAAAAAGTTATGAGACAAAACTTTAAATGGCTACTCTGCTTATTTCTTGTCCTTCCTCATCTAAAAAACAGGATTTAAGAGACAATGTGAATAACCAGTATTTATTGACAGGGTGGCACAAAGACATGAGTACCCTGGTAAATGCTGTTTTTGAACAGAAGCTGCACAAGCTGTTCGTTATGGGTGTTTTGGGGCATAGTACCTAACGAAGAATAGAACTTAACAAGGGATTAAATGATTCCCCATTAAAAATATTTAGTGCATTCTTATAATCAATCAATTATAAAGCACAAAAATACAAGAGTATTTTAATCATGTTGAAATACTTTCATTGAGACATTTTTTACACTAGATAAGGCTACCTACAGGCTGCTCCCATGTCCTGCACGTTCACTCCTGTGAGCGTGCAAACAGGGCAAAAGGAGCTTTCTTGGTCACAGAGGCTATCTCAGCAAAATCTGACCAAGTAATATCTCTGTGCCTTTGACGAAGTCTCACAGTGTCGTCCCCAAAAGTTACTTTTCTCAACTTATGCAGTTGCAGGGAATGTAGAGTCCAGGTAAGGAAGAATGGCAGAATGGCAGGGCAGTGGGGAGTCTGCTTGCCACAGGTCCTTAAGGCAGCCGAGAGAAATGGGTTTGGGAAACAAGCCTGAGTTACCCAATATTTACTATTATGTCTTTTAAAAAACTTTGGGGGGAGCTATAGCTCAAGTGGTAGAGCGCTAGCCTTAAGCTGAAGAGCTGAGGGACAACGTTCAAGCCCAGAGTTCAAGCCCAATGACCGGCAAAAAAAAAAAAAAAAACAACTTTGGGGGCTGGGAAAGTGGCTCCTTAGTACAGTGCCTGCATGCATGAGGCTCTGGGTTCAATTCCTCAGCACCACATCAGCACAGAAAGCCAGAAGTGGTGCTGCGGTTCAAGTGGTAGAGCGTTAGCCTTGATCTGAAGAGCTGAGGGACAGGCCCCACGACCAACCAAAAAAAAAAAAAAAACTTTGGATATATTAAAATATGAAATAAAACGGGAAAATACAACAGAGGGGCCCATCAGCTGCACTGGACATTGATGAAAATGAACTAAGCAACTCAAGGGCAACAATGGGAGGGAAGGAATGAGAGGGAAAGAGGGAACAGCTTACACCAAGCAAAAGAAATGTACGTATCACCCAGTGCAGAAGAAATAGTTGTGCTGTCAAAGCTTGTAGAATTCACAAGCTTTATAGACCAAGATAATGACAATTTGTTTTGTGAAGGTTAAAATGTGTTTGTGACTTTAAGTATCACTATCCCATAATACTGTGAAATCTGTGATTTATGTAGTCACTTAATCTCAATAAAAATTATTAAAAAATAAAATATGAAATAAACCTTACAGATTTAGTTTTTGTGATGTACTGTTCATGTAAAATCTAAACAGACTGTATAAAGTTATTGGGTAGCCATATTATAAATATTCAAAATGCAAATTAAACTGCTTCAGGCAGAAACAGAATGCTTCAGAGAAAATGATCAATCACCTGTGCTCAACGTGCACAAAGGGCCACCTGCAACTACAGAAGAGGCACGTGTGTATACCAGTGCTCCTGGCGGCAGGTGTGGGCAACACCGTGGTGAGTATGACGATCCCTGTCCTCAAGGAGCCTCAGTCTAGTAGGAAGGAGACATACTAGACTGTGAGCTCCTCGAGGGCAGGAAAAGTGCTTGGGTCATCTGTGCCCAGTGACCAGCACCAGGCCCAACAGCATTTGAAACGGAACTGACTGCAGGACGCACGGTCTGGGGGAGCTTGGGGAAGTGCAAGAACACACAAGCCATGCAGACTCAGAGGTGCAGGCTGGCAGCCATGATGAGGAGCCAAGGCAGGGAGGAAGCTGAGAGAGATGGGACAGTCTCCACAGGTAGCGGAGGAATCTGGGTGAGAGAGTGAATTTGGCTTTGGTGTGAGGAAGAGCTCTTCAAGCTCTAAAGAAGGAGGTTTAAATGTACCTGCTAGCCTCTGCCAGAACATGAGAGGTCACAGTAAGCCACTAGAAGTTGTCTTTTGTAGCAGTGTTGCTTTTTCTTAGTGGAATTTCAGGAAGATAGGCCAAGAAGTTATGCCACAGAAGTTATGGGGAGAAGGGAGAGGAGGTGGCTCAGAGAAGGCTTTGCTTCTTGGCTAACACGACAGCCAGCTGGAAATCTCAAGTAGAGATGTGGGACTTGTAAGCAAAGGACAAGACCAAAGCTAAATAGGGGAGAGACAGAGACTATGAATAGGCTGAACAGACACAAAGAGTACTGAAGGCACAGAAGAGGTGGCTACCCAAGTCTTGTCTAGTCCATGGTAAGGGTGGGAGGCAGCAAGATGGAGGATGTCAGCAGGTAAAGTCAGAAAGGCAAGGGGAATATCAGTAGGTAAAGTCAGGATCTGTCAGGTTTTAATGAAAGATCAAAGAGGAGAAGAAGTTTCAAGCCAAACATGAAATAAAGCCCATTAGAAAACCAGATTTAACAGCAATAGGATATGTAATTACATGATAAGAGGATGGAAGAAGATTGGAGAACTTCAACTGGAAGAAAACTGAGATCAGAACATTCTCTGAGGTATCTAAAGGCCAAGCATATGAAAAGCAGTGTGTCACTGACCTGAGTGTGGAGCCAGGCCTGCGGGTCTAGGTTATGGAGACCCAGAGTGCCTGGCCTTTCAGAGGGTAGGTCTCATGGAAGTGTAAATGAGTATGGCCATGCTGTCCCATTCTCCTCACCCCCACCACTGGGTTCAGCTCTGTAGGTCAGGGACATAAATATCGGCTGACCATATGAGCCTCACACTTCTCCCAGAGCTCAAACTTCTTTTCAGCAGGTTGAGTACCCAAAGTTGTGCTGAGGGCAGACAAACATTTAGGGTCTTCTAGCCCGACATTTGGAGGTATTTTTGAAAAACACCAAATTACAGCAGGTAAACAAACAACTCACATAAACTCAGAGAGGTCACCCAGATATGAGGGAGGTCAATAGTACACATGAGCAAGCCATGGTGCTATGGTGTGGTTAACCTCTTCATACCCGCATACTATGTTAAAACACCATCTTATGAAAGTATTAGAGCTCAGTCTAAATCTAGAATCGAATTCAACAAGTGTTCACTGGGTAGTTACGTGATGCCTAGGTCCAAATGTGGCTTGGCAGGTGACAAGTGGGGCATGGTGATGGCCATCACTGAGGTGAGTCAGGGAGACAGACAAGCAACCCAGATGTTCTCAGGCCAGCCAGCAGGTAGACTATACACACACTTCTCTGAGGGGCTTACCACAAAGTGGTTCCCATGGGGACCATGATCCTCCAAGTGACTGGAAGCTACTGGTGGCAGTGTCTTGCCCAAAATGGGAGCCATAAACTGGCACTTGAACAAGCAACAGATGCTTGTAATAGGATAGTGGAAGTGCTTAAAAGGTACTAGAGAGGTGTTGTCTCATTGGGGAAGAGGGTTGACTTGGAACGGGTCATAAAGGAGGGAATAGCTGAGCTGGATTCTGAAGATTGGACAGGTGGCAAAAGTGGAGAGAGAACATGGTGTGTGGGAAGGTGGTGAGAGGGACTAGGAGGATGACATACTTAGGTACTGCTGGAACACGGTACCAGGGAAGGCCTGGTATGAGAATGGGGAGGGCAGCAGGGACAGAATGGAAGCCATGCTAAGTCAGAGTCAGGGAGTAAGATTTTAAGACTGAATTCACTAAAGTTTCTGGACAAGGTATAGAGAAATGTAAATCAATGTCAAAGTAACTGCAGAGGAAACAATTCAGCCTCAGATGAACTAACAAAACCAGCTTAAAGTGCTACAGTTGCAAAGGAGAAGCAGCAAAATCTGTCCCCGCCCCAGACCCCTTCCACCCCACTCCTACCTGAGCTGAGCTTTAAGTTCAGTAAACCTGGGCCGCCTGCTGGGGTCATAAGCCCAGCATTTCGTCATAAGGCTGTAGAGGGTAGGAGGACAATTTGGAGGCATTGGTAATCTTTCCCCATTTTCAATTCGACCGATCACATCATTGTTCTTCACTCCTTGAAAGGGCTTCACACCATGCATCAGTATCTCCCACATACATACACCTGTGGAGTGGGAATGAAAACAGCGCAGTGAGCTCAGCACGAAGACAGTCCACCAGGTTTCAGGACCAGAGAACCAGCAGAAAGATCTAGGACGCTCAGCGAGCCACAGCAGCACTCAATGAACTCCAGGCACAAGAACAATCATTAGTTTACACAGTGTGAAGAATGGAGTGTTGAATTATTATCAGGAAAAAGTCATATAAAGTCATAATTGTTTTCAGTAGTCTATTTCTGAAAATCTCACTTATGAAGTAGCCCACTAGTTAGTTTGATGGATCAGTGCCAAAAACCACAAGTGACTTTTAGATATGTCCTGAGGAGGAGATACTCCGGCAGCTGACCTGAAGGCTAATCAAAACCCGGAAGCTGAAGACTTTAGACAGTTCAGGTTCCTTGTGGAGATGCACGACAGCACTACCGTCACTTTACCTTCCCGACACTCACTGCCTTCCTGCAGCAAATGTGTGATAAAAAAAAAAAAAGAACACAAAAAAGTGCCCCAACTCTGGCAATCTTGTCCACAAACAACCAAACACACTTGACGCTACCTTGGGAAATCAAGCACTTTCCCTTCACCTTCCCCAAGTCTCAAAAAACTCAACTTTAGACAAACACAACTGGATTACAATGAGTAATGCAAGGGAAGAGGGGAAAGCTTTCTGCTAGCGCTGGGGTTTCTTTCCAGCATGCTCTCGCTTCTGCCTCCTGCAAGGCATGCCGTGGCTGACATTACACTCTGTGCTGTGCCTTTGTAGTTCTTCTGGAACTCTACTTCCTGCCTCTCCTCCAGGAAATTAATTGTCCTTTTAAATCTACTTCTAACATAGAATACACTGTACAAATGATGCCCCAAGAAGGAACTGTATCTTTATAGAATGAACTATGTATTACATGCTAATGCAATGTAGGCATTTGATTCTAAAACTGATCCAAGATCCAGAAGGTCCCCTGTCCCCTTGCCCCCCAGCCCAGTCCTGGTACTTGAACTCAGGGCCTGGGCACTGTCCCTGAGCTTCTTTTGCTCATGGCTAGCACTCTACCACTTGAGCCACAGCACCACTTCCAGATTTTCCTGCACATATGGTACTGAGGAATCAAACCCAGGGCTTCATGTGTGCTAAGCAAGCACTCCACCACTAAGCCACATTCCCAGCCCAATCCAAAAGTTTTAATATAAATTTGAAGAGTCTGACACAACACACACACATCCCAACCCAGTAATACACCAACAAAAATGCCTTGGTGCTGCTTTCCTCACCAGGACTCATGCACAACACTAATGGTAACACTAGGTATCACCTCTCCTGAGCTTAATGAAACCTGTAAACTTGGCTACTTGGGAGACTGATACTGGGAGGATTATAGTTTGAGGCCAGACTGGGCAGGAGTTTTCAAGATTCCTTTCCATTCTAAGCTGCGTGGAAGGCTGACCTGGGAAGACTGCTCCCAGACCAGCATAGACACACACTTGAGACCTATTCAAAAAATTGAGGAATAAAGAGATAGGAGGTACAAGGCTCAAGAAGTAGAGTGCCTGTCTACAAAGTTTACGGCCCTGAGTTCAATGCCCTGCACCATATATCAACAAAACAAAACACCCTGTAAGACCCTTAGTCTTTGCAATGGCCTCTTTTCTTTTTTCTTGCCCTCTTCTCTCCCTCTATATCTAGTACTGTTTGAATATTGGTTTGAACTTCTATCATTTATTCTGTACTCTACACCGCATCTAAGATGCCTCTGATTGTAAGGAGCAGCATTATTTTACAGGACAAAATGGATGGTGGAATGGTGCCAATTTATGGTATAATTTTTTTCTTACTATGGTTATTTTATTGGTCATGGGGCTTGAACTCTGGGCCTGGGCACTGTCGCTCAGCTCTTCAGCTCAAGGCAAAAGCTCTACCGCTTGAGCCACAGTGCCACTTCTGGTTTCTAGTGGTTTATTGGAGATAAGAGTCTCACAGGTAGAGTGCTTGCCTTGAGCTGAAGAGTGCAGGGACAGCACCCAGGCCCAGAGTTCAAGCCCCACAAAAAAAAAAAGTCTCACAGGCTTTCTTGCCCGGGCTGGCTTTGAACCGTGATCCTCAGATCTCAGCCTCCTGAGTAGCTAGGATTATAGGCGTAAGCCACCGGCGCCCAGCTTATGGTTAGTTTTTTAATCTATTATTACAAAGAGTTTTTTTTAAAAAAAAAAAAAAAAAACTCATTTGGCTATGAAAGTAGCAATATGAGCAAAACTTACAAAGTTCACATGAATTGGGGTAAGGAAAACTGTATTTTAAAAATGCCCCAATTAGTGTCAACTATAAAGTTATTCCTCAGTTTTGAAAATGTTAAAATGTGAAAATGTAGGGATTTCTGAATCAAGTTTCTCAGGTATCCTTGAGAAGGCAAATTAACTTGTCCTATGATTTACCCAGCTAGCAACTGTGGTTTGGATTTGTACCCAAATCACATGGTCTTCAGAGTCTTTCCTAATTCTCTAAGTTGGTTTTTATTGTTATTATAAAGGTGATGTACACAGTACTTAGTTACATTTTTTTTTTTCCTGAGGGTCCTAAGGGCTTGAACTGGGGGCTTGGTCGCTGTCCCTGGGCCCCTTTTACTCAAGGCTAACACTCTACCACTTGTGTCTCAGAGCCACTTCCAGCATTTTTCTGTGATTAATTGGAGATAAGAATGTCATGGATTTTCCTTTCTAGGCTGACTTTGAATCTGGATCCTCAGATCTCAGTCTCCTGAGTAGCTAGGATTACAGGCATGAGCCACTGACACCCAACATTTATTTTATTTTATTTTGCCAGTCCTGGGGCTTGAACTCAGGGCCTGGGTACTGTCCCTGAGCCTCTCTGTGCTCAAGACAAGCACTCTACCACTTGAACCACAGTGCCACTTCCAGCTTTTTCTGTTTATGTGATACTGAGGAATTGAACACTGGGCTTTATGCATGCTGGGCCACATTCCAAGCCCCATTTATTTTTTTAGCAAATAGTTTTTTTTGTTTTTTTTTTTTTTTTTGGGTCCGGTCATGGGGCCTGAACTCTGGGCCTGGGTGCTGTCTCTCAGCTCTTCAGCTCAAGGCTAGCGCTCTACTACTTGAGCCACAGCGCCACTTCCGGCTTTTTTCTTTTTGCTTATGTGGTACTGAGGAATTGAACCCAGGGCCTCTGGCATGCAAGGCAAGCGCTCTACCACTGAGCCATCTTCCCAGCCCCAGCAAATAGTTTTAATTGTTATTATAAAGGCGATGTACAGAGAGGTTACTATTACTTAAGTCAGATAAAGAGTATATTTCTTGAGGGGTCAGTATCTGGTTATCTGCAATGTTAGCCTTCAGGGAACCTAGATGGATTTTAACCTTAGATGGGATTGCACTGAAGGACTGGATGTAGGAACAAGGTAGTCAGGGTAGAAATAACATCAGGCAAGAAGAGGCAGCAGTGCTCCACATCAACAGAGCAAGTCACTGTGCAATTTGGATAAAGGCAGTGTACATGCATAGTGTAGATGAATTAGAAACACACTTTTACACCAGAGAGTAGCAGCAGGACGACTTTGGAGGAAAGGAAGAGACAGACCAAACATCAAAGAAAGAGAAGTTATAGAAGACAAAGGATTGATAACCAAGCCTTGAGACAAGCCTATTTCAGAACAAGGAGATGGACGGAGCAGTATAGATCCTCCAGGCTAAAGGAGCTGTCACAAAGCCAGAAGAACATTAAGTGTCCACATTCAGTGTGATGGTAATGGAGGGAAAAGAGATAAAAGAAAACAGATAGGGCATCTCCCTGTGGGGAAGAGGAGGCAGCCAAAGGGACCAAAAGCAAAAAGTGACAGGCTGTGAAAGTGAGATAGAGTATCAGAGAATCACACCTGAAGCTGGTGCATAACCTTTGCTCTATAGCTATTTGTTAGTGACCTCCCAATGAGGGCAGCGGTCAAGCTTGGGAAGGCAACACTCTACCTACTCTGACAAGAAAATGTTCTTTATTTTGAAGGATACGTGAAATGTGGTTTTCTTTTTAGATACAAAACTTAAAAATAAAATACTCACCAAACATCCATACGTCACTAGCTGAGGTAAACCGTCGAAAATTGATTGACTCTGGAGCCATCCATTTTATAGGCAATTTTCCTTTTGAAGCTAGAAGATAAATTTTCCCTGTTATCTGCTTGAGAACCTTATAGAGCTTGCTGAGACTTTCAGTATTAAACTAAAAAGCTCCAGCTATCTGACCCTCTAGACCTTGATTCTCTGTGAGGTATTTGGATGGGTGAGTGGTGAAGCTGGGTAGAGGATGAGACACTGAAGTCCTGCCCTCCCCAAAATGAGGTGTGAGCCAGAAGGCATAAACCACCAGGCAGGAGGGTAAGTAGACAGCATTGTGTTGTAAGATTTCAGTTCACTAGGATAAAATCTTTCTTGTTTCTTTTGTCTCTTGTGGAGCTTGAACTCGGAGCCTGGGTATTGTCCTGAGCTCTTCTGTTCAAGGCTAACGCTCTACCACTTTAAGCCACAGTGCCACTTTCCATTTTCTGGTGGTTAATTGGAGATAAGAGTCTCATGGGGACTTTTTTTTGCCGAAGGCTGGCTTTGAACTGGAATCCTCAGATCTCAGCCTCCTGAGTAGCTAGGATTACAGGCATAAGCCACGAGTGCCTGGTTATGAGCTTGTAAGTTAAATGAGTAAATAGCAAAAACTATCAACCAAACAATTCTTTTTATCTATTACATATTCTTTTCAAACATCAAACAATCATGGTTTAAACAGTAATAAGCTATGAAAGACAGATAGAATATTGAAAGAGAACAGTGATGAGGTTTTTGTATCTATTAGCTGAAGAGAGCCTTGGGTTAACAGCACTGTTTTTGTTTTCTTCCTTTTTCTTGTGGTGAGAATCAGAGCAGGGCCTCATGCATACTAAGCAAGCCCTTTACTATTGAGCTAGATCCCCAGCTCCTGACTGTACTTTTTGGCTATTACAACTGAAACTGTATTAACGTGTTATACAAACATGATCTGGGATCAATGCCCAGGAGTCCAACTGCTATGTTGTATGGTAGCTGTATATTTAGTTTTTATGATTTTGCTGAGCTTTTTTGGCTCTATTGCCATCAATAAATAATGGAAAATTTAGTTTCTCTGTGTCTTTATGGCAATGAGTGTTGTCACTATTTTTTTTTCAATCTTAGTAAACAGATGGATTTAATAGTCCTGATGGGGTTGTAAGTATCATCTTGATGTTGTATAATTTGCATTTTTCAGTGATAAAGATATTGAGCATCTTCACGTGTCCCACATATTTTTTCTGTTCATCTTCTGCTCATGTTCCTGTGCCTTGTCACTTACTATGGTCAGTCCTTCATACATCTGTCCTCATGTAGTTAGCAAACTATCTCCTCCTAATTTGTACCTTGTCCTTTCACCCTTCCAGGAGTCTTTTGTAGAATAAGAATGTTTAATTCTAATCATATTTTGCTGCTTCTACATCCTTGTTTTTAGTGTCAAACCAACCTACAGACCTCCTGGCAAAGATCTAGATTGTAAACATTAACTATGTTTTTTTTTCTTCTAAAAGTTGTATAGTTGTATGATCCATCTTGAATTTCTTTGGGGTGACTGGGGTTGAAGCTATCCAACTCCTCCAGCACTGTGTGTGAACAGACCACCATTTTTCCTCCATTGAATTGGTTCCATATCTCAGTCAAGCACATTGGAAAAATACCGTTTTTGTGGGCCATTCCTGGGGCTTTAACTCTGGGCCAGGGTGCTATCTCTAAGTTTTCTTTTTTTTTTCTGAAGGCTCACATTCTAACATTGAGCTACAGCACCACTTCCATTTTTTCTGTGATTAATTAGAGATAAGAGTCTTACAGCCTCCTGAGTAGCCAGGATTACAAGCATGAACCACCAGCAGCACCCAGCTGGAAAATGCCTTTTAAAAAAACACAGTGAAGGTCTGGAACCTATTTCTTACCTTTGTAATAAGTACTGTCTTCCATATAACGCGATAAGCCAAAGTCTCCTAATTTTACACAATCATTTGAGGATACCAGAACATTCCGAGCAGCAATGTCCCTAATAAAAAAATGAGGACAATAAACATAATAAAAACAACCCCATAAATACTACACACGTACAATACATATACATATATATGTATACGCACACATAAAAATACTGGTATTTACTTTGAATGATGGCAAAATACATTCTCAAATTAGGAAAATACTTACAAAATTATCTGTCATATTATCCACTACATTAAACTGACAAACAACAGTACACAACTGAAATTGGAATTGTGCCATTATCAGAGATCTCATTAAATAAATAGAACTTAACTCTCATTAAATAAATAGAACTTAACTCTTAACACTGTATCTAGCAAACAAATTCATGTGGATTCAAACTACAGAGCTGCAAATTACAAAGAGAAATTCTGCAGAATGCCAATAGATGTCATTTGTAAATAAAGAGATATCCTGAAAATCTCAGAAGAGTTTCCTATTTCCACATATTCACTGCTCAAGCCAGGTATAGGCGCTTGACTGTATTCGTGGGTGGAATAAATGCATCCCCAAGCCCTTTCACTGCTTGTTCAAGTACCATGTACTTCAGTCTGAAAGGACAAATGACTTTCTAGGCACTAGAGATTTAAATGGTTCAAAGGTTATGGGGTATAGTTAGAAATTTTTCCTTGCCTGTTTCTCATCTACTACTTCTGCTTAGAAAGCAATTTAGCAGCCTCATGACTGGGTCTTACCTGTGTACAAATCTTTTGCTCTCCAGATACGCAAGTGCTGTACTAAGTTGATAAGCATACAGGATCAAAGACGCCAGATCCAAGCTGTACTTCCTTACTTGCAAAAATGATCTCAGCTTTTAGAACAAGGGTCAAAACAAAAGAGAATAACTCAGAGACAGACAATAGAAATCAAAACAAGAATGCCACATAAAACAGCAACGTGAGCATTTTCAAATGCATTTTTTATTACAGGAAGATGGCTTCGATTCTCCCTTACTTAAAAAAAGTATAGCAGATGCAATATTGTAACTCAGAAATTACAGTGACGTGTTTTAAATCCTAATATAAAAACATTTGTGACTATAAGCAGATTTTTAAGAAAATAAAGATATCCCTCAAGGGAATGAATTAAAGCACAATATGAAATACTACTAAATAACAGAGAACAAAGAGACCTATTTTCTATTCAAACAAACGTTAACACACACATAGCCCATCCGCCACCACTGCAAACCTTGCTGCCTTAGGGAAAGTGTTTAGGGTGGGAATTAAGGAAGGAGAAACAAGAAATCTGCCTTTCTGTCTCCTTGAGGATTTTGATGCAAAGAATAAAATGGTCCTAGGTCAAGTGTTTACCCCACTGGGCTTAAATAGTCCTGACTCCTACTGATACCATTAGTTCAGCTAGATGTTAACATGGGAAGAAAGGCATACAAGTTTATTGAACAAAAAAATGTATGCCATCCCTCCATTTGACTTGGAAACACAGGGCAGAGGGAGATGGTGAAAGGGGAATCCTGGTCACCTCCCTGCTGGGGGTTGACTCAACGGGCAGGGATTGGCCCTGGATTTGCAGATCTGCAGATCTGCATTGCTAGCAAGTTTCCAGGTGACAGGATGACTCACTGGTTTCTGTGCTCTGGAGGATGTCTAAAAGGACAGTAGACACTTCTGTTACTCATATTTTTCAAAGAAACCATGACGAATACCAACTAGTCTGAAAGATAATGCAAGTGAATTCTCAGAAAAATGAAGAAATGTTTAGGTTTACCTCAATTCACCATTAATCTACCCATATTCCACTAAAAGTGTTTCTTTCATCCTCAAATCACTGGGCTAATTATTTAGGCAATGGTACCAAAGAGTGAGACAAACAAAAACCCACAAAACCTGTCCTGAATAAGGGAAAGACATTGTGGAGGGGATTGTCTGGAAATGTAATGATGAACACACACTCTCACCCACACACACACAGACACACACACAGACACACACACAGACACACACACACACCCTGAACTCTTAGGCTCAAGTGATTTACTTCCCTCAACACCTGCAGTAGCTGAGACTATAGACATGTGCTACTGCACCCAGCTCAACGAAGGTATTTATTTCCATGTTCTTTAAATCAAAAGCACACATAATCTTTAATGAGAACTCTGTTGAGAACCTATGATGTAGTATGTGTACTTCTGGTTCTCAGGCAAAGGCTATCAAAAACCAAGCACAAACGAAATGATTAGGAAGCATGGGAGGTGTGGAGATCTCAGTACCTCTCCCAGGGTGCACAGCTCCATGATTATCCAGACAGGATTCTCTGTGATGACTCCAATCAGCTTCACAATATGAGGATGGTCAAACTGACGCATTGTTACTAGGGAAAAAAGTTGTCTCCAGTTAGTCATTTGAAAATTCTTCTGTAGGTCTGACGGCTAGTTCAATTAACACAAGTCTGATGTTCAATGAGCTCTGTGTTCAATGTTGTAAGTTAAGCCTGCTCTTACGGGGCACAAATTGGCCCAGCATATTCTGTCGCTAGAATGCAAGACAACCACACAATAGCAAACCCAGGTAGGCCAGGCAGAACACAAGGTGAAGGGTTAAGAAAACCCATTCTTTCCTTCTGTTGGCAAAGCTGACCCTGGGCTAGTTTTCCTCTAGAAATCTAATCAAGTGGGACTGTACAGTTCATTTAGGTAACATGCTAATGCAAACCACTGCTGGAGGAGCAAGAATGAACTCCAACTTCCTGGTGGGAAGCCTTCTATCTTAACCCCACGCTGCTAGCATCTGCACACACCACTGTGGCCTTGTCCCTCTGCACATAACCGGCTGTTTCAAGGACCGGGACAGCTGTGAGGACATCTGTGAAAGAGAAACAGAATGCTACGTGGCTGCTGCATGCTGGTGCCTGCCCGCCCAATGGCACCATATACACAAGTGTAACTACATGGGGGCTCAGAGTTCAAATTTCACAGAAATACAGGCTGCCTCCAACACCCTGTGAGTAATTTTAAAAATGACATACTCCAATGGGTATAAAAATACTAAATTTCACAGACTTAACATGAAAAAAACCTTATTATATTGTCAAGCAAGGACATTACCATAAAAGCAGTAATTTTTTAAATTAGCAGTTATAAAGTAGCTGATATCTAAATGTTGTGGGAAAAAAAAGACTTTGAAAGGGGCCAGAAAATATTATTACATGTTCTGTCAAGCTATTCATGCATTTTAGTATTCCAAAGTTGTAGGAAAATGATAATAACATGCATATTTCTTTTCAGTGTGTGTGGGGAAATAAAGTTAAAATTTTGCATATACTCAAGAATTCACCTCTTAAGATTCTCTTTGGTATAACAACTTTCAGATTCACTTATAACTAAGCGATTTTGTGCCCAAGTTGTGCCCACTTAGGAGCAAAAACAGGTCTGAATGTGGCACTGAGTACAACGTCTTCACAGGGCTAACCTTGTGTGTTAACAACTTGTTCTTGAATTCTCTTTCTCTCTCATTCTCTCTAGAAGTCTCATTATGTAGCTAGGCTGGCCTTGAACCTGTGGTCCTCCTGCCTCAGCCTCTACAGCTCTGGAATTATAGGAGTATACCATTATTCTCAACTAATTACTGATTTATGAACCTTATGTTCTTCCTGTCTACTGTGTTCAGGAAAGAAGTCTACAATCACATTCAAGTGATGGTCCCTTGAAGGTCATGTTTAGATTCCCCTGGTGTCTCTGTCTCACTACTGAGTTACTAAAATGTGCAGCCACTGTAGTTGAGACCCAGAGCCGGGTGAGCCTCGATATACATTTCTGCTGCTCTTATTGGGATACCACAGACCTACTGATGCTCTGGAAGTTGCCTCACTTTCACTTTATGTAATGCAAACCCCTTATGTTTTGTGTGAAGCAAAAAATATATTCCATATATTCCAAGAGGAAGACATGACAGCCTGTTATGATACTTTTGCTTTAACAGGTAATATAAAAATGGTCCACAATCCGAAGCATATCATGTCATCCTTTCATCTTGTCTGGCTCATGTCATTGTTTAGGTAATCTGTTTTCTGTTTTTTGTTTGTTTGTTTTTGGTTGGTCACTGGGCTTGAACTAAAGGCCTGGGCACTGCCCCTGACCTCTTTTGCTCAAGGCTGGTGCTCTACCACTTTGAGCCAAAATGCCACTTTCACTTTTCTAGTGGTTAATTGGAGATGAGTCTCACACACTTTCTTGCCTGGGCTGGCTTTGAACTGTAGTCCTCAGATCATAGCCTCCTGAGTTGCTGGGATTATAGGTGTGAGCCACTGGAGACTGGCTAGTAATAAGGGATCTTTAGACAGATTTTCCACCATTCATTTTCGATTTACCATGAATAACTACTGACTTTTTATTTTATTTTTTTGTGGTCATGGGGCTTGAACTAAGGGCCTGGGCACAGTCCCTGAGCTCTTTTCTCAAGACTTTGAGCTACGGCTCTACTTGCAGTTTTTCTGGTGGGTAAATGGGGATAAGAGTCTCAAAGACTTTCCCTTCTGGGCTGGCTTGAAACCACAATCCTCAGACCACAGCCTCCAAAGTAGCTAAGATTACAGGTGTGAGCTACTGGCGCCCAGCCTGACTTTTGGTTTTGGGTGATCCTTACATATACCCATTAAGATTTTTAATTTACTCTCAAGTAATTACTTCAAATACTACAAAGCAAAGGATGAAAAGTAAAGTTTAGCAGTCACTGGGAAACTATCCATGTTGACCTGGCAATCTTAGGAAAGTACAGACTTTTTTTTTTTTTGGTGGGTCATGGGGTTGAACTCTGGGCCTGGGCACTGTCCCTCGGCTCTTCAGCTCAAGGCAAGCGCTCTACCACGTGAGCCACAGCACCACTTTTGGTTTTCTGAGGGTTAGTTAGAGATAAGAGTCTCATGGCCTTTCCTACCCGGGATGGCTTTGAACCTCGATCCTCAGAACACAGCCTCCTGAGTAGCTAGGGTTACAGGTGTGAGCCACTGGTGCCTGTCCAGACTATTTTTTTAAAGTTCTTTTTTTTTTTTTTAAATTTACTTCATTGCTACTATAGAGGTGCTGTACAATGTTATTACAACTACATGAGTCAGGTAATGAGTATATTTCCTTTCATACAGTGTCTTCCCTTCCCTCATACTCTCCCAGTCTCTCCCTCCCATCTCCAACTACAAGTTGTACAGTTTCCTTTCATCAGTGTCCAGTAAGCTCCATTGCTGTACTTTTACACTCTTTTTCCTCGAGTGCTGTACCCTCCGCCAAGCCCTTCTGAAGATGTACACTTGAATATACCATATAACAGAATCATAAAAAAACTAAAAAAAGAAGGGGGAAAAAGAGGTCTTTTGTTTCCATATCTTCAAGTTCATTTCAGTATGTATATTATTTTATATAGCTATGAAAAGGCAGGCATTGTGCCTTTGTGTTTCTCTCCTAAGAGTATCCTCTTTTGGTCTCACTCTATGCGAGTATCTAGATTCCTGTGTAATTTGTCATATCCCAGTGCATTTTAGACCTAATTTCTGCACATCAGAGAGACTATGCACTGTTTGTCTTTATTAGCTTGGCTTACCTCACTTAACATGATTTGCTTTAGTTCTATCCATTTCCCTGCAAATGACATTTTATTCATTGTAATGGCTGTGTAAAGTGCCATTGTGTATACAGTTGCCACATTTTTTGGATCTACTCATTTCTTGTGGGGCACCTGGGTGTTTCCATATCTTGGCTATTGTGAATAGTGCGGCAATGAACATGGGTGTTCAGGTGTCCTTATCATATCGTGGCTCATGATACTCAGGGTGTAGCCTGTTCATTACCCAGGGAAGGAAGTTCAAAGGTTGCAGCCTACCTTTACAAATGATATTTTACTGGAACCTAGCTCTGTCCATCTCCTTTGTACTGTCTGTAGATGGTTTTCACAATGACACAGCTACATAACTGGGACAGAAACTAGTCTAACAGCCATAAATATTTACTATCTGGCCCTCTACAGGAGTTTGACACTCCCTAGCCTAGGATGTCTCTTCCATTTTACACATTGCTCATTAAAGCCTTATAGAGTGCAGACATACTACATCTGTCATATTTCTCTGAAGTAGCAATTGAGCAACCCTTCCATGGAAGAAAACAAGATTAGCTTAATTTTACTACTCATATTATACAATAAGTGGGCTAGAGGAGTAAATCAAGTGGTATAGTGTTTATCTAGCAATTAAAAGTTTTGCGTTTAGCCAGGCACTGGTGGCTCACTCCTGTAATCCTAGCTACTCAGGAGACTGAGATCTGAGTATCATGGTTCAAAGATAGCCCAGGTAGAAAAGTTCATGAGACTCTTATCTCTAATTAACCATCAGAAAACTGGAAGCCAAGCTACCGCTCAAAATAGTTGAGTGCTAGGCTTGAGCACAAGAGCTCAGGGACAGCACCCAGGCCCTGAGTTCAAGCTCCATAACTGACAAACTTAAAAAAAAATTTGGGTTTAATCTCCAGTACCAAATTAAAAAAAAAACAAACTATGGATGATTTCTGTAGTGATCTCCTAAAAATGCTTTAAACAATAATTGTTCAGATAACTTTAGGAAAAGATAAGTGATTTTTAAAATTTGCATTTTTGCGGGGGGTGGGGGTGGGGGGGAGGGTCCAGTCGTGGGCCTGAACTCTGGGCCTGGGTGCTGTCCCTCAGCTCTTCAGCTCAAGGCTAGCACTCTACCACTTGAGCCACAGCACCACTTCCGGCTTTTTTTTTCTGCTGTGGTGCTAAGGAATCGAACCCAGGGCCTCATGCATGCAAGGCAAGCGCTCTACTACTGAGCCACCTTCCCAGCCCTAAAATTTGCATTTTTGAAAATACATAACGCACAAGAGCCCACCAAAGGTAAGGCTGACAGAGGGCTAAGTGTTGATAACTGGGTAGTCTATGTTCTTGGCTCTAGCACTCTGTAGAAATGAGTGAGTTGAGACAGAAGCCACTGGCCAGACTTTTTCTTATACTTGAGGCAGAGCCTCAGGAACAGGATTAAAGATGTACTTAAGACTTAATTGATGGGGGTCAGAATATGATTTAGTTAATATTAATTTAAAGGACGTTTAGATGGAAATCTTTACTAACATGGAAATAGAAAACATCCATTGGATGGCCATATAATGAACAACAAATACTTCTCATGGGTTAAACCCTCTGCTGGCCATGGGATACAGGTAATAAGTAAAGCAGACATGCCCTTGACTGTACGGAGCTTAAATCTTGGGGGAACAACAGTCAACATGTCAACAGTGTTCCATATTTGATCACAGATACTTGTGCCATGGCAGGGAATGCCAAAGGGAGACCTACTGTAGGGATGGTAGTCAGAAAAGGGTTCTTTGTTTTAAAGGAGAAGCAGGGAAATGCCTTGTGAAAGGAAGAGGGATCAAATCATCATCAGATTCAGTATCATCACCACCACAGCAGAAGGCAGAGAAGAATGTGCTTGGTGTGTACAAGATGGACAAGTCCCTTGCTCTCCATGATTTACTTTCATGAGAAAAGACCAGTCATACACAACTCGTTCAAGGCAGCATCATTATGGCATATACAAGCCAGGGACTAGAGGGGATATAGGTAAGGGAAATCACTTGCAGTTAAAGTCACTCTGGAAGCCACTAGAGGGGTCTCCTCTGAGGTCAATTTTTGGTGAGTCTTTCAGATTATGTAGTAGGATAAGGCGGCAAACCAGGTGGGTAGTGAAGTTCTAACTAATCAGCAGTCTAGTCTATGAGATCCAGCAAGCAGGGATCATGTCTATCTGGATTTGCAAGGCCTGGCAGTATTTGGGGCACGATCATTTCTCCATATGCACCGAGTACACTGAAAGACATATTGGTACCATGAAAGGAGAGGCTATCATCTACTTTCATATATAAAGCATCACATTTACTGAGGAAAATCTGCACAATCCTGCCCACTGAAATTCAGACATTAACTTGGAAGGCAAAATGACAAATGTAGCTATCTCATGAAAGTAGAAACATGATTTTTCTTACTTCCTCAGAGATAGTTTGGACCTTACAGAAAGAAAGGCAAATGGAATTCCATAGAAATCTCTAGAAACTTACAGGCTTCTTGAAGGAATTTCTCTCTCACGCTGTCCGAAGTACAGTTCTTACACGTTTTAATTGCAACTGCCAAAGCTGGGTTCTCCTGTGTTAGGGAAATTACAGAATCATACACACATGTAAAATCCCCAGAGAAAAATGAACATGCATGTGAAAAGTCATTTATTCACAAGGCACAGGTTGAATACTTATCTGCTCCTATGGCAGGCATTACTACAAGTAACCAGGATACACCAGTCAACATCAGACAGCAGTCTCTGCTCATGCCCAGCCTGCACTCCAGTGAGGAACAGTGGTATCAGAGACAGAGAAGTAAACCAGGACATAGAGATGGCATGGTGGCTGCTGCACTGCAAAGATCTGGAGGAAAGGGAGCTGGCTCCATGACGGAGCAGGACCATTACTCCTGGCTGGAGGAAGGATATGTGTGATCACTGAGGATGGAACAGAGCACACAGGGACCAAAAGCATTGAGTCCAAGGGGAAGAGAGACTTTCCAGGCTAAAATGAAGGGATAGTTTCTATTCTAGGTAGAATCGGGACCCACGGTGTGGTCTGGGTCAGGATTCAGGGTCTGATCTAAGGTCAGAAGAACTGCTCTGATTGGGCTGCTGGGGACAAGATCAGACACAGGGAGCTCTCACTGAAGTTGAGAGGCTCTGGCCAAGTGTGGTAGTGGTGCAGACAGGAAGGGCTAAGCTGGATACATTCCTAAGGCTGGACAACTTTTGGTGGGCTGGTAAGAGAAAGAGTGAAGGTCAGGTCTGTGGCCAGAGAAATGGAAAGATGGTTAGGGGCAGGGGACAGTAGGAGGACAGTGTGACTAAGTTCAGGGAAACCTGAGCGGGATGAGGGACTCTGGAAGGAAACTAATCCATATGACTGCATAAAATTATCAACAAAGACAACAGAGACAGAGTTCAAGGACTGAAGCTCTACAGTAATGAAAAGGCTGGAAAAAAAGGAGAAAATGGTAAAGGAAACAAGGAAGGTGTGGTGAGCAAAGTAATAGAAAAAACAAGAATGTGTTTAGAAGCCAAAATGTTTCTTTTCTTCAAAAAGCTTCCAATCTGAGAAATGACTTGTCATTTTGAGCAACTTAACACAGTATCGTAAATGCTGTGTGCTTATCTAACCCTGGATAAGTACAAGTTAGCATTGCCAGAGCCATCTATTCAGTTTATCTCTAAGGTGCCTAACACTCTAAAGCATAGGGAAAAAGAGAACAAGAGCAGATGGGGAACTAAAAGTTTAGCAGGTGCTACTTACTGCCAGATTCCTTTTAAACAAATTCTCCTAAGTCTCCCGGTGAAATGTGGATGAGTCAACCAGGCTGGGTGCGGCTTGGCTCGGGAGGAAGGGAGAGAGGGCCAGTGGGCAGGATGCCACTCAAGTCCTTCTCTTACTTCCTCTGTACATTTCTCCTTCCTTGGGAGAGGCTAGGTGGTGTCATCAGACCGACCAGCTGAGTCATTGGCCCCTAACTGGGCTGCCTGACTTTTAACTTTCTCTTTAGGCTTTGAACATGGCTAAGCTTCGCGTAGCTTCTTCCCACTGGCTGACCCTGTTATCTTAGGCTTGACAACGAAGGGTAAGAGGGATAGGGATGGATCTCACCTGAAAAGGAGTCAACAGAGGATGGAAGGTGTGGCTGCCCACGTCATGCTGCCAGGAGGGACAGGCGCCTTCCTTTAGAGGGGCGCGTTAACAGTGAGTCAGGGCAATTCATTCTGAGCTGGAGCACTGTCCTCAACTGGGATGGAGCTACCACTTGTCACAAGATTCTGCTCTGAAATGGTGCCATGGTTAATTTCTTGATGGGATGAAGCTTGATTATGCCAAGCTCTTTCTGAAGTCTTCCTGCTCTGTAAATGGGGGGGGGCATAGGCCCATAAATATCAGTCACAGGCAGGAAAGATTGGCACTAAGAATTGTGGGCTCAAGTGCCATTTATATGCCAACCTCCAAATTGGTACCTCCTACTCTGCCTTTTTCCTCTTCTGCCCCGGCTAGCACACTACTCGTTCTGTCTCCACCTGGAGGTAGAAAAGTTACTTTAAGGTGGTATGACTAAGACAGACTTCTAACATCTCATCACAAGGGGGAAATTTTTTTTGTGTCTATTTGATTGGGTCATGAAGCACCAAGATATTTAGACTAGCACTCTTCTGGATTTTTCCATGAGGGTATTTTTTTTCCCCATGAAAACTTCCATGTGAGGATGTTTTCAAATGAGTTGTAACTTTGTTTTGTTTTCAGATAGCCTTGCTATGTTACTCAAGTTGACCTTGAACTCATGATCCTCTGGTTTCGGGCTCCAGAGTACTTCGATTTCTGGGATTACAGGTATACACAGCCTCATCTGGTTCTTGAATGAGTCTTAACATTGAAGTCGGCAGACTGAGTAGAGCAGATGGGCTGATGTGGGCAGGGCTCAACCATGAGCTTTGTTTACATGGGGAGTTGGGATCACGGACACTGGTCTTTTTCTGCCTTAAAGCAGAACTACTTCCTCAGCTTTTGGATTTAGACGATACCATTCATTGGCTCTCTTGGATTTCTGGCTTTCCAAACAGATCTTGGAACTCGTCAGCCTCCATCATCACAAGAACCAATTTCTTTTAAGAAATCTATGCAGCTCTTTCTACACAGATCTAAGTGGTTCTGTTCCTACCTGTAGCACCCATCTAGAAACAGGCTGACTCTGTTACCAGCACCCCAGGGAGAACAGAACAGCCACTGACTGCTACTTTTCCCTCTGTCCCCATTCACTACAAAGCAGGAAGACATTTTAAGACTCATGCTGTACTGACTGAACTAGCTGGGTGGCCACAGGGGAATGTTAACTGGATCATCACATTAAACTCAACTTCCAACTATCTCCCATGGGCTACAGGCCTACCCTTCTATCTTCACTACTAATGCCAGTTTCATCTACTGTTGATGAAGTTATTCGTTTATTATGATAAAGCTGTTATGAGAGACATCAGAATGGAATCAAACAAAATAGTCCTGCTATGCTTTTGGGGGCTAAGACTCATTAAATAATCATTTAGTAAGCATTAGATTGAAGACACACACACACACACAATTTTTTTTTTTTTTTTGGGAGTCCGGTCGTGGGGCCTGAACTCTGGGCCTGGGTGCTGTCCCTCAGCTCTTCAGCTCAAGGTGAGCACTCTACCACTTGAGCCACAGTGCCACTTTCAGTTTTCTGGTGGCTTATTAGAGATAAGAGTCTCATGGACTTTCCTGCCTGGGCTGGCTTTGGATCGTGATCCTCAGATCTCAGTCTCCTGAGAAGTTAGGATTACAGGTGTGAGCTACCAGTTCCCAGCTTGAAGGTATTTTTTTAAAAGACTCTAGAATTTTGTATTTTTGTGGTTGTGCTGAGGTTTGAACTCAGGGATCATGCCTGCTACATAGATATTCTACTACTTGAGCCATGCCCCTGGGATCTTTTTGCTTTAGTTATTTAGTTTAGGCAGGCCTGGACTGTAAGCCTCCTATTTATTCTTCCCACATAGCTGAAGTGACAGATGTGCACATTACATCTAGCTTATTAGTTGAGATGTTCCCCAGCCTGACCTTAGACTGCAATCTTTCTGATCTCTGCTTCTCAAAGTACTTGGGATTATTGGTATGAGCCATTGTGCCTGGTAAAAACTCGGTATAACATTCACAGCTAAAATGGATTCATTCTTAAAAAGTGATGAAGACTAGGGCTGTAGCTCAGTGGCAGAGCATATTCCTATCATTTGTAAGACCTTGGTTTGATTGCCAACACTATAAAATTTTTAAAGGAAGGAAGGAAGGAAAGTTCTTGAGGGAGGGAGGGAGGGAGGGAGAGAGGGAGGGAAGGAGGGAGGGAGAGAGAAAGAGAGAGAAAGAAAGACGTAAATGAAGTAAAGTCCACACTGTGGCTATGTGAGCGAGGTGAGCCAGCTAACTCTGGGAAGCCTAGAGCAACATTGTATCAGAACTACAGAGGCAGAGGCTACAGAGCAGAGGCTATGCTTAGGTGGTCTGCTCAGTAATCCAGTCAAGAGCCTTGTTTCCACATCTGTCAAGCAGACAGCTATGTCTACTTTTAGGTCTTTTCATTAAATTTAGATGTAGCGCTCATTCTACTTCATTTTCCTCAAAGAGCACAGTTAAGAGAATGAGTAATTGAGCTGGGTGCCAGTGGCTCACATCTGTAATCGTAGTTACTTACAAGTCTGGGATCTGAGGACTATGGTTTGAAGCCAGCCCAGGCAGAAAAGTCCCCATGAGACCCTTATCTCCAATAAACTACTGAAAAGAGCTGCAACTGGCACTGTGGCTCAAGTGGCGGAGTGCTAGCCTTGAGCACAAAGAGGCTCAGGGACAGCTCCCAGGCTATGAGTTCAAGCCCCAGAACCAGCAAAGGAAAAAAAAAAGGTGAGTTACAAACAATTTTTTTTAATGGGAAAAGAGTAACAGCAGGTAAAAGATATAATTAGGTAAACTGATGTAAGCACAGAGTAAAACCTCTCAAAGCTAAATTTAAAAAAAAAAATTGAACTTCTAATTGTTTAGCTACAGTGTGGTAAGTAACATTCACCCAACAGATGTGAAAGCACTGTCTGCAGTTTCTGAGACAGTATCAAGAGAGGGCTACATCTGTGCAGATACATCTATAGTACAGCCATCTTTGGGCACCTGCTAATATTCCAGTTTTTAGAAACCATTTCTTGAGCACAGGTGTCACTTAATTCTAAAGAGTCATTTTAAAAATCTTCACTCTGATGCCAGGCACTGGTGGCTCACGCCTGTAATCCTAGCTACTCAGGAGGGTGAGATCTGAGGATCATGATTCAAAGCCAGCCTGGGAAGAAAAGTCCGTGAGACTCTGACCTCCAATAAACCACTAGAAAACCGGAAGTGGCGCTGTGGCCAAGAGGTAGAGTGCTCGCCTTGAGCTGAAGAGCACAGGGACAGCGCCCAAGCCCAGAGTTCAAGCCCCATGACCGACCAAAAAAAAAAAGAATCTTCACGCTGAGACAAAAAGACACAAACTATCAAAGAGCTGGTACTAGCTGCTAGAAAGGTTAAATGAAATAGCTACCTAGACAACGGTTTTGTCAAAAAATTAAACACAGCTACATGTGAGGAAGCAAACAAGAAGTGTTAACATATACTCACATGAAATTATGCACATGAATATTCACAATAACATTTTAATCACCAAAATGTGGGACCATCTCTGGTGTCCAACAATTGAAAAATGGATGAATAAAAGGTAGTACAGCTATACAAATAAGTATTTAGAAATAAAAAGACTACATATCATGATTCTATTTTATGAAATCTGTAACAGGTAAACTAAGACAGATAAATGGTGACACAGGTGGGGTGAGAATATGGCTGGCCACTGCTAATGGGCACCTGGTGTTTGAGATAAAGAAAATGTTATAAAATTGATTGTGGTGATGGTTGTGTAACTCCAAAAGTACTCAAAACCACTGAATTACAGCTCTCAATTGATCTCTTCTAGAGGATAAAATGTTAGGGGGATTAGATGGGCTACATGGCTATATGGGCTCAACAGCCACCATGGACTCTACTGCTGCCAATGTGGGTCAGATGATTAAATCAATCAAGAAAGACCTGGCCCCATAGAAGCTAATTCTGGCAACAGTTTTGATTTCTGTAAGTTGATGTGTACAACAAATAAGCTTTAAAAAAAAGACAAGATAAAAATATGTAGCAGAAAAATACAAGAGGTATAAATACTTACCGGACTCATATACACTCCTTGATGTACATCTCCAAACTGGCCTTCTCCAATACATCGTCCAAGTTCTATTCTTTCTCTTTGGATCTCATAATCCCTCGCTACAAAAATGACCCATACACAATTAAAATTTAAGTACCATAATCCAAATGCAGCAATAACACTTGATACATACATATAATTTCATTACCACTCATGAACAAAAGTTTCATCTATGTACATCAATATATAAAAATGCTTTAAACAGAGTGGAATTCTCTTAAACAATACATTAAAAGGCATTTCTGCATCAGGTATAGGATTGATAAGTGCTCAAACAGTAAGTTCTACTAAAGGTATTCTGGAGAGTCACTGAATTGCTCCGGTCTATTTGGCATTTATTTGATAATTTTCTAAATAATTGCTCTAAGAATTAAATTATATGATTAATAATAGCTATTAGTTTACGTATTAATGTATGATGGTATAAAAACAGAATTATTTAAAGCAATTATTTTACAAATAATTATGGGTTGTAAACATGGAGATAAAAAAATCTGTCTAATTAAACTTTTATGTTTTGAAGGTTTAAGAGTTTTCCACTTCATGATAATTCTATTTCTAGATTATATATGGAACTAAAGAGGTTTAAAGAGGTCTAAATAATTTTTTAAAATGAATTTCAAAATTAAGTGACTTAGAATCGAGATTGTACATAGCGGTATCAACTTTTGAGTATGTGCTGCAAATATTAAGTTGTAATATTTAAATAATAATTTTGTATTACATTTTATAGAAAGTCAATTATTTAGTAGGCTGTTGAGGTATACAGAAATAAAATGCCCATTAGGAGCAGTAAATTGAACTTGAATTTAATCCAGTAGTACTTTGACTTATCTGAAATATGGAACTCATCCCTTAGCCCATACAATATGTAATCCATACAATATGTAATTGCCAATAGGACAAACCAACAGCCAGGTAATCTTCCTCCCAGGTAATCAAATTATGGGCCACACAGAACATTCAACCCAAAGTTTAAATTGTGTTTTCCTCTTTAAAATCACTTTAGCGAGTAATTCCATTGATTTAACAGTATAAGTAAAACAATGACAAGAGTTTAAAATAAAAGTTAACTGAGAACTGAAACATCCCGCATCACTCCACAGTTGCAATTCAAGCAAATGCAGTTATTCAAATGAATCCTGTTACCTTCATCTATTCCATAGCTTTCTGTATTGCAATTAAGAGAGAAAAAAATTGAAGACCTTGCTTAGAAATAACTAATAGAAATTAGGTTAGCAACAACAAACTTGGTGAGGACAGGTCAATAATATTTACAATTTTATTAAAGCACAAATGAGTTAAAAAATACACAAGAAAAAACTAAGTTAACTCAATGTTACTTTATGTCACTAGATCCCTATCTCATAATTTCCTACTTTATAACACATTTTTGTGAGATCTGGATAATAGGCAGGCACATGAAACATTTAGTACTCAACTACACATAATCAATATACTACATTTGTAAGAATGAACACATGACTAAATCAACAAAATAATACTTAGGGAGGGAGGGGAATGGAGGGGTAAGCGGGAGAAAATGAGGGAGATGGGATGTAGCAATGTTTAAATAGAAATGTACTCATTACCTTACTTATGTAACCATAACAACCCGTTTATCACCTTTACAATGAATTTTTAAAAATACGAAAAAAATCCCCCCCAAACAAAAAACAAAGTAAACAATACTTAAAACATTTTCGCATGGCTATTGGTAATCAGAAAGTCCACACTGGGTCTGACTGGACTGGCAAGGAAAATGCAAGCCTCAGAGGCTTGGTTCTCTCTTCTCTTTTGGTACTATCTCCTTCATTTAGCTCTGTTGGATCTACTGAAACTGGGACAAGCAGATTTCACATTACTAAGGCTTCTGAAGCTTCCTTAATTTTTTTTTTGGGTCCGATCATGGGGCCTGGGCGCTGTCCCTCAGCTCTTCAGCTCAACACTAGAGCTCTACCACTTGAGCCACAGCGCCACTTCCAGCTTTTTTCTTTTTGCTTATGTGGTGCTGAGGAGAACCCAGGGCCTCAGACATGTAAGGCAAGCGCTCTACCACTGAGCCACCTTCCCAGCCTCACTTCCTTAATTTTTTAATACAAAAAATAAAAACTTGAAGAGCATATCCAATGCAAAAATTAGGCGCACAGATTTGTCTCCTCCAAGCCGAGTGAGTGGTCATTCTGAGGAAGAACACCCTGACACTTCCAGGCTTTGAAGAACTCGTCTCAGGTTCTGTGTACTTTTCCTCCCACTGGCTTGTATTTAATCTTTAAACAATACTAATTATCTATACAGAAAATACACTAGCCAATAAAGTTCATATTATCATAGAGCTAGAAAACAAGATTACAATATTCTGTAACTTAAATAATAGATATTTGTTTTTAAACTTTTTGACCTAGAATGAGCATGTATAGAACGCTAAAGACTAAAAGGGGGGGAGGGGTGGAAAGGGGGGAGTAGGGGGGCCAGGGGAGATGGGAAGGGATGGGAAGGGGAAACAGAGGAGGAGGCAACAATGCTTGATTAGAAATGTACTCATTACCTTGCCCATGTAATTGTAACCCCTCTGTACGGTATTTTCACCAAAAAAAAAAAGACTAAAAGAGTTTTTCTGCAAAACACTCAGTGATGAGATTCTTCTGGTGAAACCAGAGCGGGAAGCAAAGGAATGGCTTACTCACTTGAGGGCATTGTGTAGGTGTCTTCTTCATCAATGATCTCAGCATAATCATCTGTCTCTGCACCAAAGGAAACAGATGATGGCAAAAGTTAGGTGCCTGGCCTCCTGGCCTTTAGTTAATATAATTTGAAAAGGCAATTAGCGATCTAAACCCCCACAATACCTTAAATATTCTTAAAACACTATTATTAGGCAAATTTTACTCACATACAGGTAATTTATGGAATTAAAAGATGACATTACTGCAACATGTTATAATATACAGACCTCAAGGCTCCACACAAGGCCCTTGTGAATTAAGTATGAATATGATTCAAAATAACCTATCTGTACTGACTATGGAATTCTCCTCTCCCTACACCAAATGAATGTTTTAAAAGCTACACTGTGGCCTACTGAGATTTTTCCAAATAAGAATGACATCTTCAAAGACTAGCTAGTATCTGTTTTTATTAACTAGACTCAATTGCATAATTAGAAATTTCACCTTCAGAAAACAAATGACAGTTCAACTTTACAGGAGATTAACTGGGCTGATTTATTTCATTTGTTCAGGTTTCAAAAAATGCAACCCAGGAACTTTTATCCTTTGTAACTTTTTTGCCTGGATAGTTGATGTGTACACATTAATTTCAAAAAGGCAAAAGACTGCAAAAAAGAATAAAACAGGGGCTGGGAAGGTGGCTCAGTAGTAGATTGCTTGCCTTGCATGCATGAGGCCTTCAGTTCGATTCCTCAGCACCACATAAGCAGAAAAAGCCAGAAGTGGGGCTGAGGCTCAAGTGGTAGAGCGTTAGTCTACAGCTGAAGAGCTGAGGGACAGCGCCCAGGCTCAGAGTTCAGGCCCACAACCGACAAAAAAAAAAAAAGAAAGAAAAGAAAAGAAAAGTGAAAACAAAGGTGTCTTAAAATGAGGCATTTGGTTTGTTTTGCTTTTTTTTTCTTTTGAAGATGATGTCAGGAGGTTCCAAAGTCACATTTATGTCTTTTGGTAATACAACAACTTAATTTAATAGCCCACTACCTGTTGTTAGTGGGAAATGAAAAAGAACCACTCATCTGAGGTAAACTACCACTCAGTTGAACAACACTTGGTGAAAATCCACTGAAGTGAGTTATGTTTGATGCTTTCTGGAAAAAGACCCCCAACTGTTCCCTGGTGGAGGACTGTGCCTGCAGGTCACAGGGCTGACAGCGCTCTGCTAACAGGCTGGCAGGTGCGGGTGCTTCCTCTGGTGTGGCCCTTGCACTTCACTCAGGGTTAAGAGCATGGGAACCAAGGAAAACAGAATTCGCACCCTTCACAGTCACAGGACAGATATTGCTGCACACACTGGCTGGAACAATTTAGTTCTCAATGTATAACCATTAAACTGATTAAAGTAAAACAAAGGTTTGGCTGGCAGAATGGAAGGTGAATGAACCAATTCTCCATAATTTGTGAAATGTACAATGTTCCCTAGTCCTCTAGGACAGGCATGATGATATACAGAAAAGCACTGGCACCTACAGGCCTGCAGCTCTGCATCTGTGTAGGAAGACTGGAGGCAGAAGGAGTGGCTCTCAAGCCTGTAACAAGGACTGAGCAGGGAGTCTGCTACCACACTCATAGCTAAGGCAATGGGAGCAGCACCAGTCATACAGAGGAGCGTCTGCTAACTATTTTCTCTTTTTAGTCCAAAATTTATCAGGCTCAACTTCATGGTGCCTCCCCAGAAACTGAATGCAAACAAGGCCGCACCATCACCACCTGCAGCTCAACCCCTCACTGTGGGCATCCTCCCCTGCAAGACAGCACATCCCTTTGGCTGACCTCATAATCCGCTGTCCTTGACTGTGTTGGGTGGATGTTTTACACGCATGACACAGGAAGTGAGGCCTCCCAGGGCTGCAGGGAACCACAGCAGGGCTGCCCAGAAGCCCTCTCTCTCCTGTAGCAGGTGTCCACTATGTGAGTGAAAAGGGGGGTAACACCACAACTCCAACAGCAGTGACTTCAGCTCCCTCAGTGGAGCGGAGCTGGCTCAGTGCCAACTTGGTTTCACCAGTGTGCCACGAAAGAAGATTTTGTTTTTTGTTTGTTTGTTTTTTTTGTCACCACTGCTCTGCAACTTATAGTTGGCATATTACCTAGTATTACTTGGCCTCTGTTACTCTCTGTCAACCTGCCCAGTGTCCACGGAAGCAGAGCTCCTGTGTATCAGATTCATCTGTGCGTCCTCAGCACAGTGCATAGCACAAGAGCAGCCCTTTCAGTGCATGCTAAGCAGCAGAGCTGCTGTACCTTGGCCCAGCTGCACAGGCAAATGTGACCTAAAGGTACATGCCACCTACAGGCACTCATGACTCCCTGGATATGTGTCGTGTGTCCTCATGTACACAAGGACAGCAGCTGGGACCCATGGGGTTGTAACAGGACTACAAGGGATACATGGGATGGTGAGATGTGGCCCTGGGTGAGACAGATGATGGAGAAAGGGCAGCTTCTCCCATTGTTGTGATAGGGACAGAGCTGAGAGGCATGGCGGATACTCTGCGTCAGTTTTGATCTGACTGCAATGTGTATCCTCAAGGACTATCTCATAAAAGAGCCTATATTCCTTCTTTGGTGTCAGTCTTAGGGCTTGAACTCAGAGCCTGGGCTTAGCTTTTTCTGCTCAGGGCTGTTACCCTACCACTTGAGCCATAGCCCCACTTCTGGTTTTTGCTAGTTAAATGGACATAAGAGTCTCACAGATTTTCCTGCCTAGGATGTCTTGGAACCACAATCTTCAGATTTCAGCCTTCCAAGTAGCTATGATTAGAGCCAGGACCCAACAGTGCCTGGTAGGGATTTTTTTTTTTTTTTTTGGTTTTGTTTTGGTCGTGGGGTTTCAATTCAGAGCCTGGGCGCTGTCCCTCAGCTCTTCAGCTCAAGGCTAGTGCTCTACCACTTGACCACAGCACTATTTCCGGTTTTCTAGTGGTTTATTGGAGATAAGAGTTTTCACATAAGAGTTTTACAGACTTTTATGCCTGGCCTGGCTTTGAACCGTGATCCTCAGATCTCAGCCTCCTGAGTAGCTAGGATGACAGGAGTGAGCCACTGGCGCCTAGCTAATTTTTTTTTAACTATGCAAATTCTATATAAAACCTCTGGGGATTTATCAAAGCAACACTGAGACTACTGATAACATCTGAGCACAGATATGTTTGCTATGGCCTCCAAACACCAGTATTCTATTCACCTGGGCTAATAATTACTCGCTTTACAACAATTCTTACAGAAACCACTGAGATTCTTTCTCTCAAGAAAACACAGGGTGACCAATGTGCTGGAGGTCACTTAAGAGTCAAGACTGACAAAGTGGGCAGTGGACAAGGTGAGTCTGGAGCCCAAGACCTGACTACTGGTTTCTCATGATCATTTTCTTCATCTGTGTAACTGTGCTACCCAGGGATATTCAGGATTACGGTGGTGAGCCAGGAATCACAGTGGTCAGGTGCCTGCCACTGCAAGCACTCAGATGCCTGCTTGTTCAGTTATTACTACCATAGAATGATCTAGAAATGAAGTAGAATCTTTTGCCTCCCAATTTCATAAAGAACATGCACTTTCTATATAGGTAAGAGCTTTAGCTACACTTGCTTTGCTCACTCTATGCAGGTTATTAATTATTTTCATCACAACCTGAACAGGGTGAAATCTTCAGTGAAAACATTCTGCCATTTAATCATAAGAAATAAATGCAAATCTTTGTTTTAGTTTACAAACTCTCACTCCTCTGCTGTAGAAAGTATAAAGTTTCATGCAGACACTACACAAAGTAAAATGAGAAACCTAAGACACTAGAAAAGATTCAGAATATCTAGTCTAAGAAAACAGTGATTCCTACAATTTCCCCAAATTACATTGTGTGACTTAAAAATTATGATTATTCTTTTTCTTTTCACTATCTCATTCCTAAGAATTATTATACACACACTCTTAGAAATAACACAAATGTGAAAATAAACATTACCGTCCCCACTAATTTCATCTGCAGATCCAGGTGGCATGCAAAGAAAGAGGGAGTAGGGAACAGAGGAAAGGAGAGAGGAAAGGGAAGAGGAAGAGAGGAGAAACACACTATTAAAATGACAAGTAAGTCAGAATGTAAGAAAAATAACAATTATCCACAAAATTGATTAAAAAAAGATAGTATGCTTACTTGAATTGAAAGCTATGTTAAGCTGTTGAGTATACAAAGTTACAGAGTAGTACTGTAATTTTAGTTTCTACCACACAAAGCAAAATTTATGTGACCGCGTCCCACAGTTAAATATAAAAATGTCTTCTACCTCCCCCAAACAGAGTTTGTGTCCTTTTGGAAAAAACTGAAAACAAACTCATCATTAATCCACATGGTAAATGATAAGCAAGGGAAAAGTACGTAGCATGCCTATTTCAATGAAGAGGTGCTTCCCTTGCTGTTCACGAGTGCTGGGCAGGAGACTAGGGCCTTGCACCATGAGCTCACCAGCATGTACACAGCACTTAGCCTCCTGAAGCCCTAGCCCGACGTGGTGAGAGTCACATCACATGGCTGATGTAGGCCTGGACCTGCACTACAAAGGTGGGGAGTGTGTAGAACTTGTAGTTCTGCTAACAGTAAGGCTATCTAAATGTATGAAAAACCAATTTTATTCTATCCACTTTGGGTAAATTATTTTATTAATAATTACAATATATCACTGTTTTCTTAGGAAACTCTCCAGGGGCATGGCACTCATCTTTGTGACATTCTCAAAACATCTACCCCCAAAGCATAGACGCAGACACCTGGGTGTCTGATCATCTTCATTTAGTGGCATGCTGCACTGGGAAATTCACAGTGCAAAACATGTGACCCTGCTAAATTCTGTGGGAAAGTGCTCAGACAGGAAAAATGAAACCAGGCAGCTATATCCTGACATGTCATGCATTTAAGAACTAGCACAGGCAAACAAAGTCTTCTTTTAAGAGAGCAGCCCAAAGACAGACAGAAAACTCCCCACCCCACAACCCCACCCCATTATCACTCTGGACAAAGGAAAACA